TATTGCGCCATTTACAAATCTTCTACTACTGCTAAAGCAGCCGTTGTTGTTAACGGTATTTTCGGCACCACTTTGCGGATGCTTTTATATCCACTCATCTAATTGCAGACACGCGGCTGTGTTAATTGTTCATCAGTGTTAATTTTTGATGTTTCTCTGATGTGCACATCACTCTGAGGACTAATTGTTTTCACATTTATTTATTCTAACAGCTTCTCAGCATCACCTCTGTGTCGCCCAAGGATCAACAGCTGTAGAAACATGCGTACGCCAGCCATGAAGTTGGCGTGAGGTACTGCACATTTCCACGGCCATTTCACCCTTGATACATCTGGACTTTGCCGTGGAAAAGGACGTACGCCACGTTTTTGTGCGTACGCACCCTTTGTACATGAGGCCCCAGGCCTCTAATTGAGACAGGCCTTTAGTTGTCAAAATGTGGAGCCACGCAAGGCTAGTAAAAGGGACTCGGCATTGAATTGAAGTTTTACAGTACGTTCATAACAGTTACACCTGGAAGTTCATATGTGGAAATATTTAGCAACAATATTCTCTTTGTAAGAGTTAGTTTGTGAGATGCAACCCTTTATCATTTAGTACATGGTGCTGGTGCAACCATCTACTACATCTGCTGCATACAGCTTGTGTTTTGTTGCCTCACAACCATCCAAAATGCATCGATTAGTGGCTTATTACCAACTATAGCTTTAATATTGTACAGCAGTCGATGCATATCTACCAGCTCTGGGGGTGGTATTAACAATGAAAACTAAGAATTGTGTTGCTACAATAATTATATTAATATATACATATTTTATGGAATGCTCAATAGAGAAATTAATTTGCAGAGAATTTGTGCACTGTGGTTAACAGAAGAGCAAAAGGTCACTATGACCTGAATTTCCCTCTTCCTCTCCAAAGTGCGCTTGTGAAGTATGTAGTAAATGTAGTGAAGTGCTCATATCCATGGTGCAATTTGAATTTAGTAGAAGCAAAGTGACCTTGTCTTGAACTTGCAGTGAACAGTATGGCAGCAACTAAACCTGCGTGTGTAACCGTTTCAATAGTTTTTAATTTAGTTTGACTGCTTGACTCCTACTTTGTCCTAAAGTGGAGTTTAAGGACATTGTAGAAGCCCAGGGTGCCCCATCCAATCTGGTCATATCAGAAAACAGATAAAAAAGGAGACAGGGAAAGGAAAAAAAAAAAGAGGATGAAGAATGAGAAAAATGGCGAGCAGCGAGAAGGGTTTCTGTCGAATGCTCAGGCGTCTCCAAACATGTCAGAAATAGGGAGCAGACTTGGAGGAGATGGCTGGCAGAGAGGCAATCAATAAACTCTCACATTTCATACCGCAGTGTCTGTGTGTGTGAGTACACAAGCCTGCTGTGTGTATTTACGTAACTGCATTTGTGTTTGCACCAAATTTCGAATCAGCTCATTGTAAGCAATTCTACCAGACTGATGAGACAAACTGTCACATTACCAGAGAACATACCCTACCCTGCGCTTTTTTTATTCAAAACGCTGCATCACCGGGGGAAAACACAGCATCAGTCCAAATTAACATGTTCTGTGATGTTTTAAAGCTCATAGGTTCTTGTAAAAGATCATGCTGCATGAATTGAAACAGATTCTCCCTGCGGAAACAAGTGGCGAGTTCAATATGAGCTCATTTGTTGAACACATGGCCATATTTTGTGCTTTTAAGCTGTCCTCAGCACCATAAACTGCACTCATTCTGAACTAAAAAGTTAAGAATTCTACCAGTACACGTCAGTAGCCAATTAATCTTCACTGTAGCCACTCCAGAAAGTCTCTCTTGATGGCATGATAAATCAAAAGCTCAGTTCACTGCTCTGCTTTCTTAAGTTTGGAGAGAGTTGCTTGTGTTCAGCCATATTGATTGAACTGTCCAGGATGTTGAGGTAGGTACACGCTGACACAGTTTCAGGGTGGACTTTCACATTAAAGCCAATTACTTGGTTGCTACAGCCTGAAGGTGGACTAAGAGTGAACAATTATAACTTCTTTGTTCTGTCCTTACTGAATCTTTAATGATGCAACACCATCACCTGTCCTGTGTAATTGATTGCAATTGATCAGGTTCAGTGATGACCTTTACTTTACAGTATCTCCTCTTCTTCTCCTTCCTTTCCCACACATTCCTCCCCTCCTCTTTTTCGTTTCATCCCCTTCCCTCTTCTGTCTTCTCTTCTCCTTTCATCTCCTCTCCCTCCAGGCCTGTAGATTCTGCTGAAACCTCCCGTAGTCCTTTTTGCAACACTGAAAAGCAACGACTTATCTCCCCCACGCAACCCAGGCTTAGGAGAGAAGAAGAAGAAGAAGACGAAAAAGAAGATGAAGAAGCGAGAAGAAGTCTTCTCACCGCGACAAATCAAACAAGAAAATACACACAATCCCCACTGGCACAACTGCTGTACAACACCACTCTGAGTTTTTTGGGGGTTTTTTTCTTTAAATCTCTCACTTATCCTCTTGCCGCCCTCATCTCCTTCGCTTCATCTTTACTTTCCTTGAAGCATATGTCCTTCCGTACTTCGGTTTCCTCTCATCTCATCTTCTCATGTTTTCCTGACTCTGTTTGACGTTCTTTTTCTCTATCTTTCCTCTCCCTTGTGCGCTTTCTCCACCATTGATTATTCCATTTCTCTTTTTACATTTTTCATTGTATTTCATTTTGGCAGTGCACCATTACACTGGCAGACAAACATTGGGTGTTAGCAGCGTTCATGGCAATACGCCACATCCGTAGGAGATACTTGAAACAACATGTATATTGATATTGTAACAAAACAAAAGCTATAAATCAATTTCGTATTGGACCTCACTTTAAACCTCTGGTCTTTTCCCACAGTTCATCTGAAACCTCTCGTTCCATTCCAGTATTCCTTTTTCTCCTCCTTCCCTCTTTTTTTCTCTCATAGCTACCTCTATTGCTCTGTTGTCGCCCCCCCCCCCTGCTCCATCCTTCCTTCCCACACCCTCACCGTGCATATGCATCATCCCACTATCTATCTGCCTCTCCTTCCCCATCTCCCCCGTCTATCTATCGACCTCTCTCTGTCTCGGCAGGCCAGGGAACACTGCGAAGGCTGAGCTACTGTCCTGGTCGGGGGAAGAGCATTGACTTTTTGATGTGTTCCTTTCTTTTCTCGTCACAGACTGTGTTTGATCTTGTTTCCCTCTTTAAGCGGAGAGAACAAAGCCTGTTTCTTTGTCTGCAGTGGTTGTGGTCTTTTAGGACAAGGTGGTAGCCATAAGCCTTCAAAGTCGGAAACTCTCTGGAGTCGTTTCTTCGATTTGCTTCTGTTTTTATTGCATTAGTTGTCATGGAGTGGAAAACAGTATATCTTTATAGTAACGGTGTAAACCTTAAAAAAAAAAAGTACTATTATATAAATATTTTATTTTTTACCATTGTATAAATATACAGTATTGATTAACTTATGTACTTTGATTGCAAGTTCTTTTGTCAACCACACAGTGCGTAAATAAAAAAGAGGAAACCTTTTTTCTGTGAATTTTAGGCACTATTTCTAATGCTATTGATGTGTTGACTATTTTATTGTAACATCTTTTTTTGTTATACTTTTTTTTATAATTTTGAAATCTGTGATTAATTGCAGAATCAGGAGTCTTGTTTTGATGGCTGCCATGTGTTTAGGTTCAAGTTTGTCTCCCGTCAATTCTGCCCCCCTCCTGTTCTCTCTCCTTCTGTCATTACAAGTCACAAGAAGATGTGTAAGAAGAAAACAAAGGCTGTGGTTTTGGTGGATAGTCTCCCTTTTTTTTCTCTTGCGCTCATCAAAAAAAACGTAGCGTGTGTGGGTTTGTGTGGAGGACCACCTTAAAGAAAAAGATGACATTTTGAATGAGTTACGTCTGTCTTTTGCACTAATTTAATAAAGCCGTTACTGAAAATTCCCACAATGCTGTTCTGCAAATTGTGTGTTTACTGAATGGCCATTTGATCTCTAATGGAAGGAGCTGTGGACAGATTTACATATTGAAGTGTTAGCATGTGTAGATATCAAGAAGTAGTTTGATATTTTAGAAAATACACGTATTTGCTTTGTTGCTGTGAGTTCGATGAAAAAATATATGTACACTGAACAAAAATATAAACGTAACACTTTTGTTTTTGCTCTCATTTTTCATGAGCTGAACTCAAAGATCTAAAACATTTTCTATATACACAAAAGGCCATTTTCCTCACAAATATTGTTCACAAATCTGTCTAAATCTGTGTTAGTGAGCACTTCTCCTTTGCAGAGATAATCCATCCCACCTCACAGGTGTGGCATATCAAGATGCTGATTAGACAGCATGAATATTGCACAGGTGTGCCTTAGGCTGGCCACAATAAAAGGCCACTCTAAAATGTTCAGTTTTATCACACAGCACAGTGCCACAGATGTCGCAAGTTTTGAGGGAGCGTGCAATTGGCATGTTGACTGCAGGAATGTCCACCAGAGCAGTTGCCTGTGAATTGAATGTTCATTTCTCTACCATAAGCCATCTCCAAAGGCGTTTCAGACAATTTGGCAGTACATCCAACCGGCCTCACAACCGCAGACCACGTGTAACCACACCAGCCCAGGACCTCCACATCCAACATGTTCACCTCCAAGATCGTCTGAGACCAGCCACCCGGACAGCTGCTGCAACAATCAGTTTGCATAACCAAAGAATTTCTGCACAAACTGTCAGAAACCATCTCAGGGAAGCTCATCTGCATGCTCGTCGTCCTCATCGGGGTCTCGACCCCACTGCAGTTCGTCATCGTAACCGACTTGAGTGGGTTTTCACTGTTCAGGGCAGATGGCAGACAGCGTGTGTGGCGTCGTGTGGGTGAGCAGTTTGCTGATGTCAACGTTGGATCGAGTGGCTCATTGTGGCGGTGGGGTTATGGTATGGGCAGGCGTATGTTATGCACAACGAACACAGGTGCATTTTATTGATGGCATTTTGCACAGAGATACCGTGACGAGATCCTGAGGCCCATTGTTGTGCCATTCATCCACGACCATCACCTCATGTTGCAGCATGATAATGCACGGCCCCATGTTGCAAGGATCTGTACACAATTCCTGGAAGCTGAAAACATCCCAGTTCTTGCATGGCCAGCATACTCACCGGACATGTCACCCATTGAGCATGTTTGGGATGCTCTGGATCGGCGTATACAACAGCGTGTTCCAGTTCCTGCCAATATCCAGCAACTTTGCACAGCCATTGAAGAGGAGTGGACCAACATTCCACAGGCCACAATCAACAACCTGATCAACTCAATGCGAAGGAGATGTGTTGCACTGCGTGAGGCAAATGGTGGTCACACCAGATACTGACTGGTTTTCTGACCCCCCAGACCCCCCCAATAAAGCAAAACTGCACATTTCACAGTGGCCTTTTATTGTTGTCAGCCTAAGGCACACCTGTGCAATAATCATGCTGTCTAATCAGCATCTTGATATGCCACACCTGTGAGGTGGGACGGATTATCTCTGCAAAGGAGAAGTGCTCACTAACACAGATTTAGACAGATTTGTGAACAATATTTGTGAGGAAAATGGTCTTTTGTGTATATAGAAAATGTTTTAAATCTTTGAGTTCAGCTCATGAAAAATGGGAGCAAAAACAAAAGTGTTGCGTTTATATTTTTGTTCAGTGTAGATACCACCCTCGCACTTTGTCCTTAAAATATGAAGCCACAGCCAGGAGAAGCTTAACTTAACTTAGCTTTGCATAACAACTGGAGGCAAGGGGAAACAGCTAGGCTAGCTCTGTCCAAAGGTTTTAAAAAATCTGCCTACGACCACATCAAACTGTGCTCTCAGACAGTAAGCAGTCACCGTAGCTGCACCCCAGCAACTTCAATGTTCTGTATTGAATCAGCCGCAGCAGGACAACTTGCTTGCTTGCTGTGGCTGAAGGCTATCTTGGATCCTACCAGCCTGTACACCACAGGCTGCTGCTATCCACCTAGTATAATTTCTTTGAGTGGGTTAAATAAAGGGGATTCTAGCTTTGAACCGGGGAAACAGTTTGCAGTATGATGTGATCATCATAGGAAGTTTTGCTAACTAGATGAACAGGTGTGTAATCAAGGGGACTGGAATACAATAATATCATCTCACTGTGGTTTCTGCAGTTGCTATGGTCACACATCAAGCCACTGCAGTAAGCTGAAAAAGTTGAATTATGAGGGCAGTGACAGCAACTGCCTGCTTAAGGGGCCGTGTCTACCAAAGTGTTGTTTCCAGCTGAAAACACCAGGCCTTCCCCAGGAAACGCTCAGCTGGGAGAGTTTGAGATTGTTCTGTAGGCACAATGTTTTCTTCAGATGAGGCGCTTTGGTTGCATGTGATTGCTATGATTTGGAATATTGGTGAAAGTAAAAAATGTAATTAAAAAAATGCGTAGGGAGAGAGGATGGACCCGCATGAGGAAATCTACATTAATATATATAAAGCATATTAACATATTTTTCCTCATAATGTTTGGTCTTCGTGGTATTTGTCCTTTCTACACTGTGACTGAACGGCTGGGTAAAAAGTGCCAGTGATAAGCGGAGCATATTGCTCAAATTGGACAATTTTTCTACTCTTGGCGCTCAGGAAAAAAATAGCCAGACAGACAGCTCTCAGTGCAGAGTAGACTCTTAGCACCTCATGGAGCTGCTGGCATTTGTAGTGTCACATAAATACATAGCGCTCCTACTACAAAGACTTAAAAAGTATGCTTCCGTAGACATGGCACCAAACCTACCGTTAAACCATTCTACCATTTTGTACAGATTAAAAAAAAATAAGATTTAAAGTGTTAATTAAAGCTTTGGAGGTGCCTGTAGGCAAATTCTCCTTTATCCTTAAGCAGAGCCAGGCTTTTTCTGGTCTTCATGCAAAGCTAAGCTAACCAGCTGCTGGCTGTGGCCTAATATTTGACAAATATAAGAGTGGCATTAATCCTCCCATCTCACCCTGGGCAAGAATGCGAATAAGTGTATTTCCCAAAATGTCATACAATTCCTTTAAGCAGTCAGAGATAGAGAGAGGGACAGAAATACTACTCTACAGATCAGAGACATGGAGGACAACAAAGACCACAATGACGAAAGTATTTATCAACAGCTGCCTGAAGTGGATCTTGAGTGTCCACTGGCCAGTTGCCATCAGCAACAATGATCTCTGGCAGTGAACCAGCCAACAACCTGTGGAAGAGGAGATCAAGAGAAGAAGATGGGAATAGATTGGCCACACACTCTGGAAACCTCATGCTAGCATCACCAGGCAGGCCATTAGATAAATGGCAGAGGGACGTCAAGAGTGAAATCAAGCAGAGTGAGTTGACATGGAAACAGCTGGAAAGGAAAGCCCAGGGCACAGGACTCTGGCAAACTGCGCTCCATGAAAAAGGAGTACTAGGGGTAAGTAAGTAACTTACTCAGAGACCTAGTGGATTTAAATTTTGTGACCTTCATTCATAAGTACATGAACATCTGGAGGCTGGATACCAGATTGATTTGTTTTGATGTAAGTCCATGTAACTTAACTGGTTGTAATGTTCTTATACTTCATTGCCTTTGATTATTTAGCAATTAAACAATATCATCTGTGTTTTTCTTTGGAGTCCTTAGTTGATCACACAAATTCTTTTTTCTTTTCTTAAAGCTGTTCTAATCAATATTTGTACATTAAAAATGGATGAAATGACCACACATAATGTGAGATGCAAACAGGCAAACAGTGGAGCATTTAGCAGCTAAAGATCCAGATATTTTTTTGAGTCTAGACTAAAAGATTTTCTGCCCAAGCACCTCAGGGTGCAGTTAAAGCTCAGGGATTTAAAGGTCAGTCACGTAAACCATGTTTACGTGTGTTTTTTAAGTAATCAATAAAACCTCAACACAGATTCTAAAAAGCACTTTTAGTCTCTGTGAAACCAGTGCAGAGACACTCAAATTGGGCAGATCTGATGAGAGTAGCTGGAGACTGAGCCTCTGTGGCAGCATTTTGAACAAGCTGTAATTGTGAGCATGAGTTTTCAGTGACACGGGAGTTGCAAACAAAATAAATGCATGAATGAGCTGAGGGCTGTGTTATCAGTGCTAGAATTCCCAAAACATTTGAGCTGCAGAAAGTACAGTCCTGCAACCTTTGTTTTTTTTTCCTATAGTATGCTTACCTGGAATTAATATGTGAAACTCAGTGCAAGCTATTAAACCTTTGTTTGTTTAAAGGAGGCTGTCAAAATTCATCTCTGCTTCTATTAATCTTGAGTGAGTGGCAGGGTATGGAGGTAAGAGGGCTTAGCCATCTATAACACAACAGCAAAACGAAATTGACATTGTTAAGAATGAAGGATGAGATGATGGCTGTGAAAGGAACACATATATATTTTATACTCATAGCTAACAAAGCCAGTAGATGCACAAGTTTCAATTACAGGACACAAACAGTGGTTTGGTTTAGAGTTTAAAAGGTTCCTTCAGCGCAGGCTGTCAAGTCAAGGAGTCTACCTGTCCTAGCCACATCACAGACAGAAGGCTAATGTGAGATTCAAGAAGGTGCTCGTCTTCAAGCGGCAATACCTTTTTTAAGTATTTTGTGGGCCTTTATTTGAAAGTGGAGAGTAGACAGGTGGCAGGAAATGAAGGGGAGATGGGGAAAGCAACAAAGGTCCCCATCTGGAAACAAGCCAGGCACACTGTGATTACAGTATACAGTATGATTTGTATCTTAAGGCAACCTCAGTAGAACATTTTTAGCTCTGAAAATAGAAGCTGCTGCTGTAGTAAGACATCATTAAGAGTCAGATCTTGGATCCATTCAATTTAGATTGTTAATGAGCTGAAGAACGCCGAGGAACATCTCCCTAAGAGAGATCATGATGGTGGCCAATTCAACCCATTCTCTTCCCATGTCATCACA